TATCACGCACCAAACTCGTTTATCAACAGAATCGATACAGAAACACAGTTTGAGTATTTATACATTCAACTTTCCGACCTTAAAACCATAGACGAGGATAAAAGAGTCTGGTTCAAGTTCAAAATGATCGATATTGCAGAACAATATCAGATTTCTCCTCCAGAACACTCAAAATTATTTATTAAAGAGCACAGAACAGCAATAAAAAAAACCTACGAAACGATGAAAACATCGTCATTCTCAAACCAGACAAAGGTTCAGGTGTCGTAATAATCAACCACCGAGACTACATCTCTAAAATGAAAACCATTCTCGGTGATACAATAAGATTCCAAGTCGATATGTCGAAAGAAGAAGCAACAACGGCCTTCGAAAATAAAGTAAACAAGCACCTTAAAGGACTACTTAAAGAAGGGCTAATAGACAACAGCACTTACAACGACCTTAAACCAAGGGGGTCGCGTGTACCATTCATGTACGGTTAACCCAAAGTCCACAAAAGTGATGTACCATTGAGACCTATAATATCAATGGTGAAATCACCATGCCATAAACTGGTCAGATGGTTGGCCTAAAAGTTGGAACCCATTCTAAAAAAGCTGGCAGCTCACAATATCAAAGATTCTTTCCAGTTTTCACAAGAATTAGATCAACTCGATATTTCAGATAGACTTCTCGTGTCATACGGCGTTTGTTCACTGTTTACCAGCATACCCATCGAAGAAACGGTAAAAATCATATACCAGCAGTCCGAACTGCTTCCTCTTCCAGAAAATGAGCTACAAAAATTGCTACTTCTATTTACAAAGAATATTCAATTCCGATTCAACAATCAGCTGTAACCGGGAGATTGACGGGGTGGCTATGGGTTCACCTCTGGGTCCTGTTCTTGCTGACATATTCATGGCTCATCTTGAACAGACTCGAATGAAAGAAGAAATAGAAAGAACCACCTATTACTTCAGATATGTCGACGACACGTTTGTAGTCTGCAATGATATAGAACACGCGTCCACAATGTTTGAGAAACTCAATGCGGCTCATCCCAACATTGTGCATTTACAATTGACTACAAAAAAAAACAACCATGTCCTAGATGCCAACATGAAAAGAAGAAGTGACGAGACGATTCAAAAATCTGTCTACAGGAAAGAAACTTGGACTGGTCAATACTTAAATTATCACAGCTTTTGCCCAACCAGTTACAAACGAGGTCTAGTAAAAACGCTCTTCAGGAGAGCCAAAGAAATATGTTTGAAGGACAAGATTGAAGACGAACTCGCGGTCATCGAAAAGAACCTTGTCGAGAATGGATATCCCCGAAAGTTCATATTAAAGTATAGAAATGAAGAAGCACACAAACCGAAACCTGTTTTCATCTGCCTAGCGTACAAAGGGGAAGATGTATATCCACAAGAACACAAAAAAGAATCACAGCTGCATTAAAAAGAACATTTCCAGCCACCAGACTGATCCTATTTCACAACACTGTGTGCTCGTTAACCCAGTCAAAAGTAGATGAGTACCCTACTCACGTCAACTCCAACTGCATTTACCAATTCACTTGCACTTGTGGAAGCAAGTACATAGGAAGGACTGAGAAGAGAGCATCTACTAGATTTTCCAAGCACATTCCTAAGTCTCCGTACAAAAGGAAGAAAATTGTTATCGAGTGCAATCGCCAGACATTTAATTGACACAGGACACACAGTAGAAATTAGCCAAGCCTTCAAAATAATCAATACACAAAGAAACCCATGGCTACTTCGTTTCACAGAAGCCATTGGTATCAAGAGACTTCGACCAAACCTCTGTATACAGAAAGATAGTGTGACTAATCTTTCACTACCCTGGTAGCCCTAATTCTATTTGATTTTTTATTTTTGTTTTGCTGTTTTGTCAGTATACCTGTGTGTTTGTCTTGTTACGAAACATTCTATTCAATTTTGACCTTCAAGTTTCTAAATCTACTTAATTGTCTGTCCACCACGAGATGTGTGAGTTCACTGTGTTCTCTGACCCTGACCCTGTAATATGTCTCTAAACAATCTGTGTTTTCCAATAGAAATCTGAACTCTAACCCCTCTTATGTAATTGCACCATGTAGAATTAGTTATAGGAAAAAGGCACAAACAGGGAAAAAATTCTCTTTTCGACGACTCACTTTCGTGAAGCCGATAAGCTTAATTGTAATTAAATGCAGAAGTCTTTCGACTAATCAGACACTGGTAAACTTTGTCCTTGAAAATTCTACTACCTAATGTGAGGTGTAAGAAGGGATGACTAATTGTAAGTTAGAAAGGGATAGAAGTTGGCATGATTTAGTAAGTGTGAGATGATGACTAAACAATAAGCTACTATAATTTTTCTCCTCTATTTTAATATGTAAGTTCACTTTTATTATTTTCATTATTATTACTTTCTATAGTTTGGTTTGTAAGGATTAGTTATGTTTTACGAGTTGATCACGGATTGGTATCAGTTATTATTACTGTTCTTAATACTTCATTGTTATTTTGACTTTGAATATGTCCTTTTAACTTGACCTAAGTCTATTTTTCTCACCTCTACTCTTACCACTTTATTAACTTAATACTTTTATTATTATTACCATTCCCACCAGCCACATTTTATTGCCACTCTATTACTGTTTATTATTAATATTGCTTTTCACACAGATCTTATACAAAAATACTTTATAGCCTTTCCACTAGTTCCTGTCCATTCTACACTAGGTTATTGATTAGTCATTATCTCACATATTATTATTGGGTCATGTCAACTTCTGTCTCCTTTCCAACTTACAATTAGTCATCCCTTCTTACACCTCACATTATGTAGTAGAATTTTCAAGGACAAAGTTTACCAGTGTCTGATTGGTCGAAAAACTTCTGTGTTTAATTATAATCACGATTGTACAGCTCATGAAAATGAATCGTCGAAAAGAAAATTTTCTTCGCTGTTTGTGCCTTTTTTTTATGACTCAACATGGGAATATTTCGTTCATATAATTAATTGTTTTTTGACTCTGAATAATCTGTCTACCGACGTCAAATTCTGGAATTATGTTTCTTCTTATACCTTCTATCTATAACTCCAAATAATTATGAAAAAGTATGTTCCAAAACTTTTTTGAAACTTATAATTTGATTTTGTTTAGGATGTATGCAATTGATGAGTATCCACGAAACATGACGAGCTCGTATAATCCTGCAAGCATATTCGTTTCTTCTGTCTTCAAACTAATAAAGGGAACGGGGTGTATGTGTTTATCGTTGGCATTTTGATGCTGCATTAACTGAAAGTATTTAATCAGAGTGAAGTTAAACTATAACAGCCACTACCAAGCACCCTTTCAGTGATCATGAACAAGCGATCTTGGTAAGATAACAGTAAGCCTAGTAAATTTCCTCCAAAAGAACTGTATTTTCACACAGTCAGCCTTATTCCTCCTTATTAGTACTGTACCAAAGTTTCTCTGTTAAGCATAATATGTGTAACCCAATATCCAGACAACCAAGAAATCAGGTGATGTGATGGATTGCCTAAAAGTGCTTTTAACAGTTCTACAGTCGAGTTGTCGATGGCAGTTACTATAGTTTAGCTTAACCTCTTAATCAGTTCACCAAGTATCCTTAGTGGATAAATGAATGTTTCTTGTGTGTGCAACTTGCAACCACCCTCTCATTTACTCATCTGAAAATGACGCTAATTCCTAATTTCATAATTAGGTTCGTTATAATTAACTGACTAGAAATGAGTTTATTGGTGTAATATCAGAATGTAATTAGATATCATTTTGACAATGATTTAATCTAGGTTCATAATATTTCATTGATATAGTGGAGGATAACTGTATCACTGCATATTTGCGCCTTACTTCGGAGTATATATTGTGAAATAGTGGAGAGAATAACTGCATATTCTGATTGGTTTTGTGAACAGTTAGGATTCTTTAGAAACGTGATGTGGCTACACAAATTGATACTCAGTGGCGTCCCCCCATCCCTGAGTTAGCATTATCATCCATACAGCCATTGGATAGTATATTGCTCAAGTCATAAAGTATCACTTATATTACTGATAAGGACAGTAAAATTCACTATTATCAATATTTAGAGAAAAGTTTAAATGACATTATAGGCGAAATAGAATTTACTGATAACCTACCTTCATTTCTCGGAGTTTAAATACCTTTTTTGTAAGGACCGGTCCTATTCGAATTTTACTTTCTATTTTCACCACGCCAATAACACAGTCATTCTTGGACCCAGGTTTCGTGCTAGTTAGCACTCATCAGCAGGGCGTGTGTGCAACCTCGAAAAACTCATATCTCTTCTCAGATTCGAACCTGCGTTACTCAGTGCTGCAGCCAAAGACGTTACCACTGAACTATTCGGGCTCGCGATTGGCCTCCTCCCTGTAGAACTGTAGTTGGTACTTTGTTTGGACACTAGTAACTAGTGTAATGTGTCTAGTCTTTTCTACCAGTCAGGTTCGCAATATGGCCACCATTCTAGGTCGCTCGCCATCACTGTACACATTCATATGATGATATTAAATGGTTGAATGCAATCGGCAGGAAGCAACTTAGCATGCTGGCTTCATTGCAAATCTGACTGATAAAATTTAGTCTGCACCAAGGAAAGGACAAGACACATCACACTTGTTACTAGTGTCCAATCAAAAATGGTCATTTTGTCAGTAATGTTAATCTGGTGTTTTCTTTTAGAAACAAGTGTTTGTTACTTTCATCTGTTCGATAAATTTTTTTGTTGGAAAAATTGCGTTTACCTTATTCTATATAACTGCTAAATAACGTCATGGTTTCGAAGAAAATAAAGCTCAAATGCATTGGTCTCATTATAATCGATTGTGGACCAAATCACTAACCTGATATTTCCTTTGATAAGTTCCTCATTCATGAAGAAGTTCCCTTATAACTGTAAAAGAATAACCAGCTATTTCTTACTATTCCATATTTTTTATTATTTAACATCATGTTAAAGTGGCAGTTAAGAACGTGTGCCTTGTCACAACTGAATTAGAATTTGCACATCTAAGTAGCATCATATTCAAAATACTCGGGAGGGGGGAGTTGTTGCTGCGTTTATTTAAAATGACAAACTATGAGGTAGTATCCAGTTGATTCTTTGTTTGCTTTACGATATAAATTTCTCGTTAGTTTACAGTATGCAGATGGTAAAGTCCTCCTAGGTAAAGACGCTGACAAAATACAGTCTTGTAAACACCTTAAGTGGAAAATTGAGTGTGTTCGGCATGTAATTCCCCCTTATCAAATGTAAGCTGATGCTGCAGGATTAGTCTACACTGCTTTTCAGTTTAAGGATAGCAAGTGAAACGGTTAAGAGTGCTGACCGCCTCACTTATCAGAAGAATTGTATGTACCCTAATGGAGAGGATTGATAACAAAATCTCAGCTGTCGTATGGTACTTGACATTTTACGTCATTTCTGGTGTAGACTTGATAAGGCTGATGATCGAAGAACATGTGTACTGAGAAGCCGTTCTCTAGGCCTTTTTTTATGGCCATGAGACATGGTCGTTGGAACTACAGGTGTTTGTGTTCATTTTTCCCTGTTGGATGTTTTGTGGTGAGTAACATTGTGGGGTTGGGCTTAGTTTTAGGTAAGGAGGGAAGTGAAGCTGCATCCCTTCAGATGACTGGAACTCATGTTGCCCATGAAAAGCCGTTGCATTCCTCGTCGAAAAATGTCAAGTGACGTAGGACTAGGTGGTCAAATAAAAACGTAACATCAATCCAACATATAGACATGTATAGAGGTAATGACTATCTAGCCGGAGTCCTTAAGGCGATAAGAAGAAATAGCTGCAGAATTTCGCTGACGTGACCCAAAATCATTCTTCTTAGTGGCTCAGAGATGCATTCAGTCCTTTATAATCTCCTAGAATCATTGATGAATACTGACTATTCTCCGTGTAATTATTCTCTCTCCTGTGGTTTTCCATTAATTTTAGCTTCTTTGCATTTATTTTTCTCTCAACCATCATGTGTAGTTTTATGAGGCTTGTCAATTTCAACTGTTACACCTTTTGTGTATAATTCTATTTTGAATGTTCAATTCAGTTAGTAATAAGTGTTGTGTAAAGTTTCCTTGTGTTATTTAAGTGTTGGTTTGTAGGGATTTGATTGGTTACAGGATTTCATCATGAGCTGAAATCGGTTAGAGAACCATTGGAAAATCAGAGCTGGAGTACTGGACAGCCAACTGTTTCGTCCTAGCTTGGAACTCTTCATTAGTACGCATCCACCACAGGGGTTCGAACCCATGACCTTCTGGTGACAAGGCTAGCGAGCTCGTAGACCACTAAGCCACTGGGGCCCGATCCAATGGCCATCCTATGAATTCTAACTTCTGCCAATTCACGCACGACATAGCGCGACCCCTAGCCAATGTTCGAAACTACTACGAAACAGTTGGCTGTCCAGTACTCCCAGGTTTTCCTTGTGTTATACTTTGCATCCGTGTATCAATGGAGCATTTGTATGTTTGTATGTATGAACAGGCTACTTTCCTCTTGTGTTTCTCTTCATGTAGTGAATTCCTGTGTGCTACTACTCAAAATCACGTGCATATTATTAATTGACCGCGTATACGGCGTTGAGCAAGTTCAGTCGAAGGCATTAATCAACAGTTCTTTAGGCAGTACAACTGTAAGTAATGCCCCTGTACAAGTAAGTGGCTTATAAGATGAGATATACGAAGATTTAATCTTTTTTTTTAAATAGTTAACAACCCTTAAATTCAATTCATCTGAAACACATAACAATTCAACACCATCACTAACTGCTGGTCTACCCTTAAAAGTAAGTGGAAATAAAAGTTTTGAGTGTCTAAATTTTTAATTCACTTCTCTTAGTCTGAAATCAGAACATCGCCTACTCCAGTTGCTTCAAATGCTTCGTCAACTGTTCAGCCTATACATTCTACTAAACAGTCTATCCAGTCTACTACATCAACCAGAGCAGTAACAACTGAACACGATGATTTTTTGCACCATGATGATATAGAACAAGACGAGCTAAAAGCAACAAAGTTAAATGAAAATCCTGTGGATATAAATGACTCAATAGATGTACCACAAATTGATGATTCGCCGAAAGAAAGTCACCATAATCAAAGGATCAATGATAGATATGTTTTTAAAGAACCGTTACCTCGAAAGACAGGAGGAGACCGTAACCGACTGCTTGATTCTGAAGATTCATTTGTGGAACGTCAATGTAAGCTATTTATTTTTATGACAGGATAAATTTTACACTGATTGTTTTCTTTTTTTGAGTTTGAATTTTAATGAAAGATGATTGGTGCTGAGTATATGAACAGCAGGTGCGTCGGTGGAATAGCGTTTAGGACGCTCGCCGACCATCCACATGGTCCGGGGTTCGATCCGTGGCCACGGACGAACTCCTTTATCTCGCTAAGCCAGAAATAATGCTGGTAAAGAGTAAAAAGGTTGGGCATGAGGCTAGAAACCCCATCCTGTGAAAAAATAAACATTGATACAGAGACTTCAAGCCTCTAGCTTGAAGCCCTTTGTTCCACTGGGAACGTGAAGGAAAAAAATATATAAACAGCAGATGTTATTAGTATACTTGTTTTTTTAAGAGCTTTATGTTGATGTTGAATTTCACTTCACATGGTAGACGTTACATTTCAGTGGTTGAATTTCACTTTTTGATGAATTAGCAACATCTTCTAGTAATAGTGTAACAACAGAAGACAAGGGCCAGGCAACAGATCGTTTATTAAAGAAATCAACACGTATTTATAGATTTTAATGTACAATATTATAGATTATTGCTAGCAGAAAAACACAGTCTTCCGACTGATGGTTGTTTCTCACTGAAAGTTAACCTTGTATTTCTTTGTGACTGTTTCTTTATTGTCAGATCATCTATGTGCTAACTGTATCTGCCTACGCAAAGTGTTTGCTCTTGCTTTTTTTCACGACCGATATCTGGGACATAAACATTGACGTAAATTAATGTCTATCAATTTGGCTAGCAGACAGCTGTCACCACACTCGTACCCCCGTCAAAGACTTTCGACTGAAATTGGTTCGGTCTTCTAGGTTCTAAGAGCTTTGTTCGTTTGTCTTGCCTCCTGGAATTCCAGCGCTCATTGATGTTCACCTGTCTCTCTTTGTTTGCCATTGCGATTGTGTCTGCGTAACCTCACCTCAAAGTGACCATATATGGGCCTTCCCACTTTGGAAACTCTGCCTCACCCTGTCTCACATTCGTCAGTATTTCAGCTCATACTTTCATATGTTGCTTTCGCCCGAACTCCCAACAGCGTCCCAATTAACAGCCTCATCGCTGACAGATCTTGAACGCCACTCAACTGCACAGAAGCCTCGAAGTCCTACCAGAAGATCCATATCTCTCCATCAAAAACTGCAGGACATAGGCTTTCCATTTGTCGGTAGGCAGCGACACCAAATGTAACAACAGAAGACAAGGGCCAGGCAACAGATCGTTTATTAAAGAAATCAACACATATTTATAGATTTTAATGTACATTATTATAGATTATTGCTAGCAGAAAAACACAGTCTTCCGATTGATGGTTGTTTCTCACTGAAAGTTAACCTTGTATTTCTTTGTGACTGTTTCTTGAATGTCAGATCATCTATATGTTAAGTGTATCTGCCTACTCAGTCACGAACAATATTTGGGACATAAACATTGACGTAAATTATTGTCTACCAATTTGGCTACAATTTGACCACAATAGGAGTTTCTAATGTATTGGTATTATACTTAGAAGTTAACAGCCGTCTATTTCACTTTATTGACTACAACATTTCTGTTTTCTCCCATGGAAGAGTTTACTTGAACAGTGTTGTAGTAGTAGCTGGTTTAAGTACTCAAGCTGCCACTCAAATGAGTAAAGACACTCATATATTCGGCAAGAGTGAATAATAATAGATACCCTGAATCAGCCAATCGGATCTTATTTCACTACACATGCATACTATCCACGGTCTCTGCGTTGCAAGTCTAAACCCAAATTTGATTTTTGAATTCTGTATGGAAAATGAGTTGATAGGGAAGAATAAAACATGCATATCTAGACGCATAATGACTCTTCAGACGTATTACTAGGTTATTGAAGGTCGTGCATCTAGATGGAATCGCTGTCATAGCACAGGAAGTCTGTAGGAGTTGGTAAGTTGTACATTATGGTGATTTTTTCTGGAAATCGAAGCTCTGCCTTACTAAAATATTAGTGTATATGCCACAATTGGATACTGAAACAGCTGCGGAAACAGAGCATACTAGGATGTCAACAGTGAAATGAAATCAACACTTTCAGGATATTGCCTCACAAAAGAACAGGGGGATTACTTGTGTACTTGAAGGAGTTGGTGTTGTCGTTCATATTGACGAAACGATACTTTATTAGATGAAAAATGAATCACCGGCGGAGAAGAGCAAACAATCCTTGGATGCTGGGACTGTATGGCACAAATCTTCAAAAAGGGTTAGTAGAACGCATTCCAAACAGGAATTCTAATGGTTTAATCCCAGGCACTAGCATTCACACAGACGAATGGAAAGGTTATTCGCAACTATCAACATGAAGTTCTTCTGAATTAGTGGATCCTATAAGTGGAACTTCCCGTTGTGTGCGCGCTGTTGTTGATATTTCTGGACGGGTTGCAGGTGATGGTCGGTTCAAGAGTCCTTTGAAGTGCTCCGTCCATTGTTTAATCTGTTTTTCTTCCTTGGTAATTGGGTTCCCTTGGCTGTCTTTTATAGGTTTCGCTTGTGCTGGTCTCTTCCCGGATAGAGATTTGGTTATCTGATATAGTGTCCTCAGGTCCCTTTTGCCTGCAGCCTTCTCAGCTTCAGTGGCGAGGTTGTCGTAGAATCGTCTTTTGACCTTCCTAGCACTTTTCTTCACTTCTTTGTCCAGTGCTTTGTAAGTTGAGCTCAGCGTCTCCTTCTCCTGTCCGTCCTGGCATTGAATCATTTTCTCTTTCACCATTCTCCTCTCTTCTATTAATTTCTAAGTGTCCATTGAGAGCCATTCCTTGTCTTGTCTCTTCTTTCTTCCTAGAACCGTTGAACACGTTTCGTTGAGAATCACCTTCAAAGACTTCCAATGTTCTTCCACGCATGATTCTTCAGTGATGTCGCGTAGTGTTTCCTGCTTTGCTCTGACAGTTGCAGTGAAGGTGTCTTTTGTGGTTGTGTCCTTCAGTTTCTGAGTGTTGAGCTTGCATTGTGGTCTATCCCCAGCTATCCCCGAGGCTTTTAGCTTCACCTTGAAAGTCCCTTCTACTAGATAGTGGTCTGAACCCACATCTGCTCCTCTCCTTGACCTTGTGTCCAGTAGGCTCCGTCTCCACTTTCTTGAAATTGAGATGAAGTCTATTTGATTCTTGGTGTTTCCATCTGGTGAAATCCATGTCGTCTTGTGTATATCCTTGTGTTTGAACACACTACCGCCAATCACCAAATCATTGAAGGCGCAGAAGTCTGAGAAGAGTTCACCATTGTCGTTCATTTCGCTGAGGGCCTCACGACCCATGGTGAGTTCTCTTCCTGTGTTGTCTCCTCCCAGCTTCGCATTCATGTCGCCCATCAGGATTTTGATATCGCCATTTGGGATGTTGTCCATTATTGCTTGTAGTTGTCTGTAGAACACCTCCTTCTTCTCTTGTTCTGAGACGTTTGTAGGCGCATAGCATTGAATGACTGTAACTTTCCTTCCTTTTGAGTTGAACCTGGCTGTCATTATCCTGGAGGAGATTGGTTCCCACTGCATGAGAGCTTTGGTTGCTGTTGGTGACATCATGATGGCCACTCCCTCGGTGTGCTCATGGTTGTCCTCTAGGTGGCCGGAAAAGATTACAGTCTCTCCAGTAGGTAGTTGGTACCTTCCAGTTCCGTTCCATCTGCTTTCGCAGATTCCCAACACTTCTATTCTGTACCTTGTCATTTCAGCGGCTATCTGGGCAGCCTTTCCAGTTTCGTACATTGTACGAACATTCCAGGTACCCATCCTTACTTTTGCTTTCATCGAAAGAAGGCACATCGGCTGACTGGCTTCCCGAAGGCTTTCACCAGCCTGCGTCATTTCACTTCCCCGATTCCAGCGAAAAGTAAGGCTATTGCTTATGTTTTTAGAATTTTTAATATATTTATTCGTTGAAGTTTCTGTGGCGATTTGGTTGTTTTACAGGGGTGGGGTTGCTAGCACCACGCCCCAACCCTCCCTCTTTACCCGGGCTTGGGACCGGCGAGAAAACTAGTAAGCTAGTATCTGGCGAGGTTACACCATAAATGCCACTTAAGATGTGGGACAATCTGATTAGTCAATTCAAGGTCATTTGACTGTGTTATCAATTTTTTACTGTTGTCATATATATTCATGCTTTACACTTTTTAAACTAAGCGTGTATACTGTAATAAATAGTTTAATAAGCCATACGGATTGGAATGACTGTCCTGTGATGTCGTGCCGTATCGTTTCAGAAAGATCTTCTGAATAAGACAAGATAAGGCTAGAGGTGTTCACAGCCATTGTATAAGTTGTCTATACTATATGTACAAGTCAGGAGGAAGTCATATTGTCGATAAGATTTTTATCTAGCAAGTCATGCCTACTACTCATATGGAGTTGTAGAAAAGAGTCAACTAAAAGAGGTGTATACTCCAGTTTACTCTGTGGCGATGCTTAACCGAGGTATACTGTTTCCTACGGGTTACACCCTAGGAAGTATATCACATGTCTGAACGACTGACGTGAAGCAGCGATAACTTTTGGTTCTTCCAGTCACGTGATGAAACTAGTCCTAAGGAAGCCTGATATTATCTCCAATTAGTTGTTGTCGATACATTATCAAATAATGCTGTTTGCTTTTATAATCCATAAGAAAATAGTTATAAAAGATCACATTAGATATCGATAGCAGCTAATGACAACTAATGAATAGACAAAGCCATACTCTCTCTCTTTTTCCCTTAAGTTCAAAACAAATTATAAAGACCACCGCAGGTGAAAATATGGTTAACGAAGTATTCGTAACAATTACTAATTTAATGAGCAGTAATGAGTAGTCACAAAGACACTGGTGATTATTGGTAATAGCTGAGCATTATTCATGTTGATTGGCAGGTGTTAGCGAAACTTTTATGATGATTGGATGGATCAACAATTCATTCATAAAAGAAGTGGTTAAAATAATGAGCAAAAGACTTTGCAAAACTGTTCAAACAACTTCTTGCTACTTTCTTGACTGATTGAATTACTAAATTTTAAGTTTTGAGCAAAATCTCACCACTTCAAATTACCACACATTGGCAAAAGGCAAAAAAGTGGGTTGGGGGAGGGGAACATACTTGAAGGCAGAATGATTGGGTTGGGTGAATAATACTTATAATAATGAGGAGTGAGTATGTGGTGAGAGCTGGCTGTTAGTCAAAATTGATGGACAGTAATTTACGTCAATGTTTATGTCCCCAATATTGGTCGTGGGAAAAATTCGAACAAAGGCGTTGCGTAGGCGGATACAGTTAGCACATAGATGATCTGACACTCAAGAAACAGCCACAAAGAGATGCAAAGGTAACTTTCTGTGAGAAACAACCACCAATCAGAAGACTGTGTTTGTTTGCTTGAATGAGCTATAATATTGTACATGAAAATATATAAATATGTGTTGATTTCCTTAATAAACGATCTGTTGCCTGGACCTTGTCTTCTATTGTTACACTCTGACACAACTGACCCAATCCATAAAGGCACTACCGACTGTTATACTGAACTGTATGCAAAAATGTAGATCGTAGATGGCTTAACATCTACGTGATTGTTTTGGATACTTTAGGTGATTTGACTGAGAATTGATCACAGTGAGTGCATTCGTGTTTCTTTTTCCCCTGGTTTATTCTGACTTGAAACACTATTTGTGCTGCCTACAGTCTTCCATCCCCTTGCATTCCGAGTAGGGCTTCTTCAAACTACAGCTGTGAAGTTTAAATGGCCATGCTGATGGTATGTTTTACTGCCTAGAGTTGCTAGTCTCATGCCCAACCTTCTCTTATTACCGGTGGTAAGATGAGGTTTCTAGGATTGTGTTGGCCAGGAATCGAATCCGGCCGATGTGTGCCTCCATTTCTTACCTGACATCCAGCGAAAAGCTAGTTAAGTAGACTCTTGTATTAAAATTTCATTCAGATATTTGTATATTATTACAGATCGATCAGTTAATTTATTTGTGATCTTTGCATTTTATATTGTCATATCATGAAATGAACATTATTGATCTATGTCCAAATATTGATTTTTCCTGTTTTTGTTTTTGTCATTCTTACTTATCATTGCAGATTTTTCGCATGTGTCTACAAGTTCTGTACTGATAATTTGCTTTATTATAATTGTTCTACTTTTGTGTATATGGAAACCGCTTTGTGTAAGTCATATATAAGGTTATTTCATATTTTTTTAATTCACGTTCCCAGTGGAATATAGGACTTCAAGCTAGAGGCTTGAAGTTTCTGTATCAGTGTTTATTTTTTCACAGGATGATGGGGTTTCTAGCCTCATGCCCAACCTTTTTACTCTTTACCAGCATTATTTCTGGCTTAGCGAGGCAAAGGAGTTCGTCCCTGACCGGGGATCGAACCCCGGACCATGTGGATGGTCGGCGAGCGTTCTACCCGCTATTCCACCGACGCACTTATTTTATATTCATCCCTCTCTATATATATCATATGGTTAAGTATTACAATGTGTGCATCGGTGGAATAGCGGGTAGAACGCTCGCCGACCATCCACATGGTCCGGGGTTCGATCCCCGGTCAGGGACGAACTCCTTTGCCTCGCTAAGCCAGAAATAATGCTGGTAAAGAGTAAAAAGGTTGGGCATGAGGCTAGAAACCCCATCATCCTGTGAAAAAATAAACACTGATACAGAAACTTCAAGCCTCTAGCTTGAAGTCCTATATTCCACTGCGGAACGTGAAAGAAACAAAGAAGTATTACAACATTTAGTGATAAGAAAAGGAAGAAGTGAACAGTGAAGAAAGTTTCCTTTTCGACGATTCATCTTCATAACCTGTACAACTGTAATTATATTTAACAAAGAAATCACAAGACAACCAATCAGATACTGGTCAAATTTGTGCTCGAAAAACGTATTACGTTATGTAAGGTGTAAGGAGTACCGTTCTTATTATAATTTTGCTTCTTCTTATTATGTAAGTTTACTATTATTATTATTATTATTTTTTCAAGTATTGGTTTTGTAGGGATTTTTTTGTTCGATAGGTTGGAGGATTTCATCATGAACTGTGACATAAGTAAGAGGACCATTGGAAAACCGCCTAGGAGTACTGGACAGCTTAGCAGTAACATCTCTGATTGCAGCGCTCACTGAGTGACGTGGGTTCGAATCTCAGAAGGGACATGAGTTCCTTCAAGGTGGCAGATATGCCTAGCTGACTGGTGAGTGAGTGTCAACTAGCACGAAAGCTAGGAGGTCCAAGGCTTCCTGCCTGCCGACTGCCTCCAACCATCTAATATCATCAAATCAATGTGCACCATGATGTCAAGCTACCTTGAATGGTGGTCACACTGCAAACGTGACTGATAGGATTCAGTCTCCATCAAATAAAGGACTAGAGACATTGGAGACACACTAGTTACTAGTGTTCAATCAAAGAGTAGTTCCCACTAACCGATTCCGTGAGTGTGAAGGTTCCTCTAATTCGATGCCACCGAATGAACCGTGGGTTTACGCAAAGTGGAAATTGGAAGAAAATGATTATGCTGGGAAGGTAGAATCCAGTAAAACTCGCCCATACTGTCTCATTGCTTTCGAAGACAAGATAAGAGTAAGTGTCGAAGAATCCGATATTATTCAGCTTTATTTACTGCCTGTTGGTGCTATAGTTAGGGCTCAAATAAAGGATGATAATGAGTATTTGGGGTAATTGTATTATCCAGACTCACCTGTGTGATTCTGACCGTCCATATGAGATTTTGTGCCGTACTACAAATGAAGTTTATCGCTTACGAAGATGTCAAGTGTCCATCAGGGATGAAACATTTGATATACCGAAAGCTCCTATCCAGCAATCATGTTGAGATCCACGGGATTCACCGCATTGCGATTCTAAAGTCGTAAGGATTAATGTGGGCCTGTCAAATGGTACAGAGAAGGGGAAGCGAAGGACAAAGCCGAAAGTTTTCAGCACAGACTGGATTATACCGGAGAATTTCCGAAAACGAGTCAAGTCAGAGTCAGGTGAAGTTAGAGATAATGTGAAGAATGGAGACGCAGATAGACTCCCCAATGAAATTAACCGTGAAGGAAACTCTTTGGGCCACACCACACAAGACATATTTGACGAGGTCCCTAAACAAGATTCTATGCATTTATCCGAGTCATTGAATACGCACGAAATTACCAATGGGCTGTCATCATCGACACCATTCATTGGAAGGTTTGTTGCAACCAGTTAGTTGGTCGTCTATTCCTGTAGGCTATCGTTCATCTGAATCCGCGACAACTCCTTCGTTGTTTAGTTTATGCGGAAGATGGGCAAGCACAGGCATTCTTTTTCGGCTAGGTGCGATAGTAACCAATGATAGGGACGTTTTTGGATCCAAGTGGTTGAATACTATATCTATCAATTGCATCTGGAATGATTAGTGAAACAGATCAGGGTGCTAGTTGGTCGTCGCCAAGTCGAATTCCAATTATACCTGTATCTGAGGCCTGTGAACAGCTTACTATCTTGTTTCCAATATCGAGATGTAGATCTAAACCTATTGAGAAAAAAGGTAGATTTCGTTCTAGTCGACGAAACTGATATCACTCTATCGGAGCTGGCATATATGAGAACATTATCTGTGGTACTGGTCACATCTGATGATTTCATTCAGTCCTTAATCCGTGGATATTTACTATTTAGTAACAATTACTATTTAGTAGCAATGAATAGAGCTTACCTGACAGAGGCTATGAAAGCTTAGTCACATGATAGCATTTCGACAGGAAGGCAGAAATCTACCCAAACTCGGCAATACCCATTCGTTTATGATGACAAGAATAGGCTATTACATGTTTTTGAGATATATATATAAATATATATATAAAATACAATTGTACAGGATTTGAAGATGACAGTTCGTTGATGAAGAAAATTTTCTTCCCAGAATTGCCTTTTGTTTTGAAAAATATAAACCAGACAAAGAAATAAATCCAAGAGCATAATTCTTTGAAGTGCTGACTGTGTGACTCTGGTCTTTCAGACACTTAGGTGTAATGGATGGTGATTGTTGGCGACATGGCTGTAAAGAATTGTTCTCAGTGGCACAAGTTCACTTACTACTCCTTGTAATCTCATTATTTTCTATGTAAATCTTTTGCATTATATGGCAATTAGAAGTGTTAAATAAGGTATTTAGAAGACAAATTTCGCCAGATGATATCATCTAAAATGCAAAAGATTTACATAGAAAATAATGAGATTACAAGGAGTAGTAAGTGTTAAAGATCCGAATTTTGTTGTTGATGTTGAGTCGCTGAAGTTGGTTGGGATTATTTCCATTACTACATCTAAGATGCATTGGGGACAGTGAGCATCCCTGATAGATGCCATTGTTTGTCATTACTTCAGATGACAACTTTCTATAAGCTCTTACGCACACACACACACACACACTTGCATAAGTTTTAGTAGAGTGTCGTGTTAAGTGTCATATATTTTCTTCATAACTCAATGAGTATATATCAAGATAGCATATATTGGTCACTATTATTATTATTGATCTAATTATCGAATTAGTCCACCTAGGATGAGGGCCCTGGAGTGGTTGTGCCATAGGATGATCCTGCATGCCGGTCTCGTCTCGCAAGAGGCAGGGATGGGTGTGTTTCGGTTCTCCTGAAAATCAATACCCAGTCAATGGGTGTATCACTGTGTGAAAGGTGCGTCGGCGACACAGGGGTTAGGACGCTCGCCGACCATGCACCTGGTCCGAAGTTCGATCCCTGGACGAACTCCTTTACCTCGCCAAACCAGAAATAATGCTGGTAAAGAGGAAAGGTTGGGCATGAGGCTAGCCACTCCATCCTGTAAAAATAGACACTGATACAGAAACTTCAAGCCACTAGCTTGAAGCCATATGTTACACTTGGAATGTGAAGGAAAAATTATGTTATTTTTTATTATTAATTATCGAATAAATCTTTACTTAATGTATGTTTTTTAATTATTTTTCAATGCATCTTTCATTCTCTTTCTAGCACATCTTATACGGCATATACGCTGGTTATTGTTGACGCAGTCGAATCGGTACCACTGGTATTAGCGGCAGCAGCAGTGGTAGCAAAGTGGCATACCATCCCTTGGGTTCAGAAAATGCTTAGATGATGATTTTGCGTGCTTTGTGGTCATCGTACATATCTTACTTATTCTTAGGGTCTATCTATCTATATATTTATATACATCTGTACTCCCTCCCACCTCTATCTCATCTCGTTGTAATTTGTTTATGTAACTTTTGCCTTTTCTTTCCATTCCTGAAACGTCCACCCCCACCACATCCTCCAGTTTATCTGCCTGTTTACTACCCATATTCTGAAGAGTGTAAAAGAGAGTTGTTTTTATTTTGTTGTTTGTTTTTTCTCTAAAATGATTTTGTAGATAAATCTGTATAAACATTGACTTTGTTAGTCAGCCAGTCACTTAGTCTTGATCAGCTTCATTTCTTTCTCATCCTGTGTATTTGACACAGCTTTGATATCGTCTCTTTTTTAAAAAGCAAAACAAAAGGATTGTCAAATTATTTTGTAAATTTTTCAGGGGAAGGGCAATACGTGTGTAAAGAAACCTATAACAATGATAAAAATTAGAAGTATTGAAGAACACTTGTGTTTTTTTGTTTGGCTTTTGGTTTTCGTTAGTGTAATAATTGTAAGTGCTAATTGTCCCTCTGGGTTCTGAATGGATCATACAAGCCCAAAACAACACATTTCCACTTTCGTTCTGTTTTTAACTAGGGCCTTGATTGCTCGTAATCTTTCATCTCCTCCTTGCACGGTCTTCTTCGTGTCACTCATTAGAGTTTTCACCTGACTCCACATCTACCCACATGCTTTCATCTCCCCTACAAATGACCTCCTCCAAGTCACCCTTTCACTGACGGCCAACTCGCTGCTTCCCTTTGGGGTTCCACTTGAGCGATGGCTTGTCTAGTGATGTCACTTGATGGTTTCTTCAGAGTACTGCCAGTCCATCTCCATTTCTTCCTGCCTACTTGTTTCACAATCGGTTCCTGGTTGTTTTGCTCCCAGAGATCCCTGTTGCTGATCTCTTCTGGCCGGCCATCTGATTTTGAGTAGTATGGAGCGAAGACAACTGTTAATGAAGGCCTGTAGTTTGTTTGAGGTGCTCTTTATTACGCGCTGGCCAAGTCTCTGATCCGCATAGTAAGTAGCACTGACTTCACATTGAAGTTGAAAATCCGGATCTTATTTTCATTTTCATGCTGAGTTTTGTTCACCTCCACACAAACTTGAGAGTAATGAAAGCTTGTCTTGCTTTTTCGATTCTGGCTTTGATATCCTTGTCATTTCCGCCTTTACTTGGAACGACGCTTCCCAGATAGGTAGATAAAGGAGGTTGTTTCTTTCAGGTTCCTCCTATTTATGCTGGCTGATTGTTGTCTGTTGTTGTTGTTACTGCTATTGATGCTTCTACTATCGCCAACTTGTTGCTTTTCACTTGCATATCTTCCAGTTTGTGGGAAATCAGACATATATCATGGCTGGCGAAGTCCAGATCCTCCAAGTTTTTTGTGTGAGTCCATTTTATTCCTGTTTCCTCGTTGCCCGCTTTCTGTCACATTATCCAACCTACTGCAATCAGGAAAATCATTGGAGATAGTAGGCGGCAGTCTTGTCTTACTCTCCCGTCTTTACTTCAAAGGCTTCCGTAAGTTTCCCGTTGTGGATTACTTGGCATGCATTGTCGGCGGCACCCCTTAGTAGCAAAGTAGTTTCCAAACAGAGACAGACAGAGTCGTCTAATGTACGAGTAATAATTTCAAGATTGATGTTACCAATACAAGATACATACGTGGTTTAGGCAACTAGCAATCGTGTTAGCGTAGAACGAACAAAATTCAACAGTATGCCTAATAGTGAGAGTATTTGTCCGGCTATCTTCAACTTTACCAGTCCATTAAAACATTATAAAAGTCTCAGCAGTTGATGTTTAAATGTTGGTCGATAAAGCTGTAGGCTAAGCTTTTGATTTAACTGCTACCACTCGCTCTGCGACTCTGTCCCCATCCCATCCTGCACCAAATAAATTTTGAAAGGTACACTATCACTCTAATTTACCATATAATAACTAATTACATTTCTTCCGAAATAATAGAGGTACTGTAGTGGTTAGGAGCCAAATTGGTAGACAGCAATGTTTACGTCCCAAATCAGGTCATGAAATAAACCAAGAACAAAGCCTAACGTTAAGGGATTCAACAACCGATCACACCAGACTTAGCGTGGACGGATACGATTCGCAAATTTATCACCGAACTTTAACTGGTGGATGGTGAATAGCAGTGGAATCCAGGATGCGCATTTCGTCCTACTTGGGATTCGTCATCTGGATGTACTTGCATTTCTCAGTGAGTGATGATGTTCCCACCGAGGCTCGAACCCAGTGCCCATAGTTTCAAACGCCAAAGCGTTATCAACTAGACCACTTGAGCCACGAAAGCCACCTCTTGTGCAACGGGTCATGTTAATTTAACTGAATTTTAGATTTTCGCACCGATTGATTAGACCGAAGTGCTCGATCTCAGGTTGACACTTCGGCTTCTTATGCAGATGCTTCGACGATGTTCGAGCATTCAAATAAAATTTTAATTGATGGATGGTGACTAGCAGAGGAATCCAGGATGCGCATTTCGTCCAAGTGATCTGGTGGATAACGCTTTGCCGCTTGAAACTATAGGTACTGGGTTCGAGCCTCGGTGGGAACATCATCACTCACTGGAAAATTCAGGTACATCCAGATGAAGTGTCCCAAATAGGACGAAATGCACATCCTAGATTCCACTGCTAGTCACTTCTGCTCTTCGTATTGTATTTCTCTGTCTTTGTCTTCGTGTCTCCAATGTTTTGCCCTAATACTGGTTCGTATCCTCCTCTCTTTGACATTAAATCTCTCTCACTCTCCGATGTTTGATATTTTTGTGTCTCGATGATCATCTCTCTACATACCACTGATATATATTTTGTCAGTGGCGCACATCACAGTACAATCTTATATATTACAATTTTTATCAGATGCACTACTTCTTTTCAACAAATATTTACTCTAAATTGTACTACAATAAATAGCATGTATTTTTATGATAAATAATACTAAATAAACAAAAGAAAAAGGATTATCAAAAAAGACTAGTCTAATCAATAATAAATTTAAAGTTATTTATTCTTAAATACATTTACTATTGAATCTTTTCACTGATACACCCCTAATTAAATGAATAATTTTTATTGATTATCAAATGCCTGTTTGAAGGTCACTTTCTGCCCATGTTATTTACTCTACAATTATTGAAAACTGGGCTGAGCTAATTGGTAATGTGTAATTGGTAATTTCATGCCGTCATATTTTTAATTACAGAATTTAAACATCTTTATTTATCGTTTACACAAAGATTTACTGAATTCTCTTTTATAGACATGAATGAGTCAACTGTTAATTTCATTCAAGTTAATTACTTTGCTTAACTACGAACTAATTTCAGAGAATTTCTGAAAACCAGGATGTACTCAACGGCTGTTTTGTCCCTTTTTGTAGAACTCTTCATCAGTATGCATGCAACTGCAATCCCGCTGGGAATCGAACCCAGTACCTTCAAGTTACAAAGCCAAACTCATTAATCAATTAACTAATTGAGCCAACGGAATCCAACGGTCTGGGTTTGATAGTCTTAAAAATTAGGACGAAATAATCCTCTAGTACTATCTGATCCATAAAGTTGAGAATAGCGAAAGTACACAAGAAAGGCATTTTTTATTCCTCTACGCTCCCAGTGGAACATCAGGCTTCAAGCTAGAGACTTGAAGTTTCCGTAACAGTGGTTTTTATGTTTACGGGATAAGGTTGCTAGCCCCATGCCTAACCTTCCCTCTTTACCAGTTTTATTACTGGCTTAGAGAGCGAGATAAAGGAGTGCGTCGGTGGCCGGTGATCGAACTCCGGACCGCATGGGGCGTGGTCGGCGAGGATTTTACCGCTGTGCTACCGATGAACAAAGAATAGAAAGGCATACTTCTTCCATATATATATCCTCAATATGATGAATTTCCCTTATCATCGCACTGCTCAATGGTTAGTAGCAGTGGTAGAGCACGTTAACCGCTTCACTTATTTGGGAAGTACCATCAGCCCCAACGGGCTGATCTCTGACGAAATCTCAGCACGAATACAGGGGGCTCGTTTCGCATTTGCCAGTTTACGCCGACTCTGGCGTAGACGAGATGTTCGACTATCGACCAAAGGGCGGATGTACTGCCCATCAGTCCGCTCCGTCCTCCTTTATGGCTGGCTGTGAGACCTGGCCACTCAGAGTGGAAGACATGAAAAGACTAGCTGTCTTTGATCATAGGTGCCTGCGTTCTATTTCCCGTGTAAAGTGGCATAATAAGGTGAGCAACATTGAGGTTAGGCGTCGAGTTCTAGGTAAACAGGGAAAATCAATCGACGAAGTCGTGAAGCTACAAAGACTGAGATGGTTAGGACATGTGTTACGTATGCCAAGCCATCGCCTCCCTCGACGAGCAATGTTAGCTGATATAGGGTCAGGCTGGAAAAAAGCTAGCGACGGTCAAACAAAAACTTGGCACCAGTCAATGAAATCCACAACAGTTGGTCTAAGCCACGTAGGAAGGTGTAGACTTCCAGGCTGGGGTCCTCGGGAAGGTAAAAATCTATGGTTGGAAACAATTGGTGATGTCAATGGAGTTGAAGATTGAACAATCAATTCTTGGTTGTTTGCTTAAAATCAACTTCCCCAATTTTCGCGGAGGCATCAATACGACAGTCATCGTCTCATCGGTCGCTGTTCAGAAAGAAGAGTGAAACATCGTCAGAAGTAATACAATGATTTATTATTGTAATATTTGTTTTCAGACCTTAGTTCACTTATTCTTTTTATATGTTGGTGCAACAATAAAGAAATATCAAGCGGCAGATCGGTGTTTTGGTTTTTCCGTCCGTTATAACTAAGCGTTTCTGAAATCTTCAAGGAACAGCGTGG